GATCTCGCCAACGACCCAGAAAGCGGAACAACATACAGTTTAGAATACGATATAACGGACGAGACAGCTCCAGAAATTGGCAAAATATCTCAACGCAAACTCTCCCAGATGGCCGATGTGGACAGAATCATGATGTCTTGCGGTTGGCTCGACAAATGCAAAGATTATATGATACAGCCCTACGCACATTTTAAGCCACAAATATTACGTAGCGCAAATCAGTGGAAAACGCTCGTTAACGAAGCAAAGCAAAAACTGTTAACACTAAAAAATGCACATCTGCCTACGTCCGAAGAGCAACAACCCATAGACTCAGATGAATCTTCAGATAAAGTATGTGTGTTAACCGCGAATTATTTCACCAAGACATTCAAAGCACAGAAGGAGATCCATAACAACATAATCGATGAAACGGTGATAAAGTACGAACTAAATGACGAACAAGAGAGAGCTTTTCGAATTGTCGCTAACCATGCCTCCTCCTTGGCACCCCCAAATCAACTAAAAATGTATCTCGGCGGTATGGGAGGTACGGGCAAGAGTCAAGTACTCAAAGCTATTGCAGAAATGTTTGAACGGAAAAAGGAGGCCCATCGTTTTATAATATTAGCACCTACGGGTACCGCAGCTGCTTTATTAAACGGTCATACTTATCATTCGGTGTTAAGTATACGCATTACAAAAAAAGAAGATGAAGATCGACAACCTCGTATTTCCGAGGCGAAAGCGGTACACGACGCGCGCATACGCATGCAAGGCGTACAATATGTCTTCATTGATGAAATTTCCATGGTAGCATGTCATGAGCTCTATGCTATTAGCTCACGTTTAGGTCAAGTTCGAAATGTTCATGAGAAACCTTTTGGAGGTGTTAACATGATCGTAGCGGGAGACTTTGCTCAACTACCCCCCGCAAGAGGACATGCCCTTTATAGCAATGAAGTTGCCAAAGTCCAAGACTTCTCACATTCTAAGAATTCACAAGAAAGCACGATAGGTAAAATCCTATGGCATCAATTTACTACAGTTGTTATTTTGAAACAAAATATGAGGCAAACAGTACAGTCTCCTGAAGATGCGAAATTGCGAACCGCTTTGGAAAACATGAGATACGCAGCTTGTACGCACAGCGATGTCGCTTTTTTGAACACTAGAATTGCCGGCAGAAGAAAGGATCAACCTCAAATCAATGACCCTCGCTTTCGACACGTGTCAATCATAACTGCCTGGAATTCTCAAAAAGACAGAATACGAAATAGGTAGCAATCGTTTTGCTCGTGATACTGGTCAAAGCCTGGAGCATTTCTACTCCATTGATAAACTTAGCAACTCCGCTTCGCCCACAGGAAACACTGGTCGCCTGGGAAACATTGCTATCGGACTACAAAGTGTCTTATGGGATGCATCGCCGTGTACCAGTGAACACATTCCGGGAAAATTGTTGATCTGTTTAGGTATGCCCGTCATGGTCAGGGTAAACGACGCTACAGAACTCTGCATCACAAAAGGACAAGAAGCTATCGTCGTAGGATGGAATGATTTTATCGGAGATCATGGAAAAAAGGTACTAGAAACACTGTTCGTGAAACTCGTAAATCCACCGAGAAATGTAGAACTGCCAGGCCTTCCACTCAACGTCGTACCTATGTCAAGAACGAGTTCTACAGTCAAAGCTCTACTGCCTAACGATCATATGGTCACCCTAACTCGACAACAAGTCATGGTCTTGCCCAATTTTTCTATGACTGATTATGCAGCTCAAGGTAAGACCCGACCTTTAAACATTGTGGAGCTCAATAATTGCAAGACCGCTCAATCTTATTACACCTGCCTGTCCAGAAGTGCATCGGCTGATGGCACTATCATTGTCCAAGGTTTTGACGCTCGTAAAATAACGAAAGGTATCTCAGGTTTCCTCAGACAGGAATTTAGAGAGTTGTTTTTACTCGATGAGGTAACAACTATGCGTTACCACGGAACGTTACCTGAAGGCATCTTCGGAGACTTGAGAAATCCAACCGTCCGCGCATATCAATTGTGGAAAAGGATCGAAAAAAAAGAGCAATTGCCTTGCATTGCCGCGTTGAGATGGGGCCCTACAGATCAAGAAATAAAAGACATACAAAAGGATGGCACATGGGACCTCAGAATTAATGCCCAGACCGCCATTTCAAACTTTATCCCTGATCCAAGTAAAATCAAACCTAAAACGACAACTAAAAAAGCCAAAAAAGAAATCAATACGACGACGCAAACTGAAACGACAATAACTAATTATTCGCCGGTAGGTCCTATCTGGGATGCCGTCTCATATAGTTGCGCTTACGACGCACCCTTTGCAATCCTGTATAATATGTGGAAGGAAAACAAACGGGCACATACGATCAAGTTGTCCTCGCTCAGCGTTTATATGAAAACTGTGGTGCAAGGTTTCGCAGCCTATGAAAACGGCACATGCAGCCTTGAAGTCGCCAGAGATATCACGCGACAACTACTGTACGAGTATGACAACGACTCATATCCAAAGGGCCGTGTTTTTACCGACATCCAACAGCTTATCAAGGAAATTGTAGGTCATCCTTCCATGTTTACTTCGCCTGTTACTTGTCCTGATTGCAATTACAAAACTACTCAAATGTTTGGTAACATCAGGGAATTTACGGCACTTGAAGGATTAGAACTACAGCAAACCCAACACCATCGTCTTTCTGAAGCACTTCAAATCCGCTTGAACGGTTGGCGACGTTGCCCAAAATGTTTCAGACGTTCCCATGAAGTCATGCTTCGGCTGCCTGATATTTTACTATACGCACCCCACTTGTTAGTGGTACAGCTCCATCAAGAAGATCTGATCATCGACACCAAATTCAAACTATTTCGCGATAATAGGTCATTAACATTTACCTTGCACGGTGTAATTTACGCGGGTAATTATCATTTCAACAGTCGCATCATCACTTCGGACGGGAATATATGGTTCCATGACGGCCAAAATGGAGCGCGCGCTTTTCCAGTATCACATATACATTCACAGCCCTCTGACACATGGTTAAATACATGCAATGACAAACATGCCTCTTTCGCAATATATTCTCTGATTGGTTGAGTCTTTGCATATACCACCACAGTCCTTCACATCCACACCGACCCTCCACGTTGCATGCATCAACACCACAAAAATCTGGCCCACATCAACGACGAGGCCGATATATTGTTAAGCGAACCTTGTCCGATATTGATCAACGCTGACGTACCCTTCCAGCAAGACCCATGCATCGTGACTATGAATAGACATGCCTGCACATGCAACTAGGTTCCATCGCTGTTCACATCATGCAGGACGTTGTTGGATTTTAAATGATTAGTGGTCTGCAATTAGCGTTGAGAGAGCCATAAGCTGTGAAATAAAGGTGATACGGCTTACTGACATACCTCAAGAAGTCAAGGGACATAATTAACTGTACGTACCTACTTGGCTTGGACTTGGCTGCATTGTCCTGAACGAGCTATCTGGTCCTAGTGTGGGAGAGAGCTCGCTCATGGACTCCTTTTCAGGTGTCGACCATCGCAATCCCCCGAACAGATCAAGGAACTCGCGAGGAGTCCGACTGCGAAAAAAAAATCTGGGGAGGAGAAAAGGAACGGTACGGACGTTGTGATTGATGCAATTAAAAGTAAGCTGAAGTTTTGAAACCCCTGCTGAACAAGGTGGTTAGAAAGAGGCAGAGCTCGAGGCCTGAGGTCTGGGGGCTTGTCGACCATAAAGTCCATCGACATTGTCAGCGAGAATCGTTACACCAAGCCACTCAAACGTTGGTCAACCAAAGACCTGTCCATCACGGAACTTTGGTTGCAACCAGCCGCAGAGGATGCCACTCTTGTTGATGAGTGATTTATTGGTGGTCCTTGCCAAGTCCTTGCATCGTTGTTCAAGGCGACGACCTATGATGCCGGTGGTAATGACAGCGACATTTCTCAGCCTGCGTCACCATCACCGACTCTCAAGATCAGTCAAGATGTCAAGTAGCTTCCAGCGTCAAGAACTTCAATTTACAATTGGGCAACCTGTCTTTCCGACGGAACCAACCAAACAATGACAAACTTTGAAATGAAAAGTGGACGTCCACTTTTCAGTTCAAAGTTTGTCATTGTTTGTCATCGTTCCGCCTTTCGTCTGCTTCACTCGCCAATATGTCTCTTGAAGTTGAGGAATGTATCTGTCCTGACCCTCTTAGCTGTGTCTTTGCTGATATACTGTGAAACTTTTCTCTCTCACTTAGTGATCTGGACTTCCTCGCGTGTCGCGAAGACGACCCGAATGATGGAGGGGGGGTTCTTGTGGCTACTTATTTCACCGTTCCCTTGTCGTTGACGGTTGAGGTTTACAGTACGTGCCGTCACCACACATCATCTGACTCTGCAGCCTACAGTTTGTCCGCCAAGCCGTTGACCCCTTGAACTCAGCTCACGCATCTCTGGAATATTCCCTACTAACAACCTGTTCAGAACGACCAACTGTTACCCTCGTGGAGTCTACATCCACAACTCCAAGTACAGCCACTACGCGCAAGACCGTCATGGTGACAACGACCAGAACGTTCGGCTCTGAAGTCAGTATCACGTCTACCAGCGCCAACGCCCCTCCACCAGCGGATAATGAAGATGAAAATGGCAACGGAGATCGGTCGCGAGAGGAGGGGAGAGGGCGATCCGACGATACCGCCTGGTGCAACACTCGTTCAGGAGCCTGAGCCGTCGCTGCTAAACATCCCAACTTCTGTTGGCAAGTTCAAGCTCAAGAAAAGGCACATATTTATGGCCATTGCTGTCACTGTCTTTGCCCTGCTTTTGAACATTCAGTCCGTGGAAGGCTTCGAAGCTAATTGATGCTTTGTGGTCCTTGTTTTTTGCACTATTATTTGGGTTACAGAGGTCTGGTTTTGTGACATTTTGCTGAAATTTTCCACTAGACATTCATCCAGGCCATCCCATTATCGTCTATGTGTGTTCCTTTGCTTTTAGTTCTTCTTAGAGTCATCCGCGACGAAGGTGATGGACAGTTATTGACGCCTGCTACTACGAAGTATGTCACGATCAAACCCGCATCTCAAGGATCTCATTCTCAATCTTTTTCAGATATGTTTTTTTTCATCATGTTCTCACCAACGATCATGCTATTAATCGGAGGCTTTACCATTTCATCTGCCCTAACAAGACCAATATTGACCGAGTGCTGATCACTCGCGTTCTCGCACTAGCTGGTACACACCCAAGCACCGTTCTGCTTGCATTCATGGGCGTGTCGCGTTTCGCCAGCATGTGGATCAGGTGATATCTATTCCTCATAGTCATAAGCTGTTCACTCTTACTCACGTTCATGGCTAACCTAGTGATGTTGCTGCCCCCACGCAGTGCTTCACCCTGATACGGGTAGGTATCGCCTGACCTCTTGTTGTCCACCGAAACCAACGTGCCTCTCTCTAGCCCATTTTGCGGACACTAACGGTCCTCGGCATTTGGCAATCAATCGCATTGGCCGCAAACATCGGTGGGCAGAGCTCGCTGATATCATCACCACAAAATATCATTGCGCTGCAGGCGATGGACCCATCGCCTGACTGGACGAAGTGGTTTGCTGTGGCTCTGCCCGTTTCGGCTGGGCAAAAACGACATTCCGAGACTTGTGATTCTGGAGGCTGTGCTGAGTTTTATACAACCTTCGCCGTATTGAGTATCACATGGCTAAGGCTAGGTGAGTGGGGTTCCTTGCCTGAGTAGTATTATTTGATAGAATTCCGATTCAACGCAGCAGTAGGAATCTTGGTCTCAACACAAGCGCCTCACGAAGGCAATTTCAAACGATACTCCGATGGTGAAGCAGGGGTCTGGTGCCATGGAATGAGTGTTACGTCCGATGGGATTGCTTTCCTCACTGCCATATCTGGTTCGTCCCCTTCCTGCTTGAGGATCAAAGTTTGGAAACGGTGATTGATGATTGGCGGACATACAGCTGCGGTCTCAGCCGCCCTTGTTCATCGCACGGCTGGGAAATCGGTTTCTGGGCTTCAGGCGAACGTCGCTGAGAGTGATAAGAAGGAGTTTCAAGTTGCGTCTGTTCAAGTTTCTCAAACCTTTTACTGATTTTCATCTCAACTTATGTAAGGTTTAGCAAAGGTTTAGAACAAGTTAATGAATATCCGATACTCGCATCGTGGAGCATATATTTTATACAACGGTGTGTCCGTTCCGCGCTACCTACCAAAGAAAGCCACATGAGTAAAACTTACCCCTCGCATATGGATGCCATGGATTTCAAGGGACATATACCAGCCCACTTCATTCACCTAAAATATTACTTGACTTTTTTCACAGGCCGCTGGTAGGTTTTTACCCTCGACTGCAACTCCGGACACGAGTCCCACAACGCATCTAATCTCCAGGTCCACATGTTCGGGTCTGGGGGAACCATCCGCGTCAAATCCAGCTCTTGAACTTACGTGAATTTGACCGATACCCAAGAAAAGAAACTGTCGCACATGTCTGAGGACATGCGAAACCCGAGCCAGGGCAGATAGCGCTTATGCGTGAAGTCGGAGAGGCTTTCCCAATTGCATGCTACCATAAGTCTTACCTTATGACTATATTCTCGACCAATGTATGATTTTCTCGCAGATTTAACGCATTTTTTTGACCGTTGTGTACACCGACCACACTATCCACTTCCTAACAATGCGATTTGCGGGGCAATATATCTAATCTGCATAGACTTGCTGCGCACCAAAACGACCATGTCCGCAAATCCTTCACAACTTCTACACCCTCTTCATGTATCGTACATCCAGATAAACGCGCGGAAAGCGACCAGCGTTATAAATAGCTGTTCACAACACATCTTGTTTACAGTGAAATCGCCCTCCCACAGGCGGAATCAAGCGCAGGCAGAATGACGACGTACCCTCATCACGGAATAGGAGGTCAGCAATATTGAAAACGATGAAAGCGAAGGCGTCCAAACCCGAGCGCAACACGCGGAATAAGCCTACATACACAGCTGCAAGGATCCCTCGCCGAACCTCATACGAAATGAAGCGTCCTGCTCTATCCACGCTGACGAAGACGCGTCTCCGGCAGGCGAACGTTACTACAACGCCTGTAGGTAGTGATACTGTGTCACGCTCACGCCACAGCTCGTAAAGCGGACATAATGGACACCGAACGCGTATTCGCGACAACCGCAAGAGGGAGCTCAGAAGCAGAGACGTTGCCTGCAATTTTGGGTATCGAAATGACTGGAACTATACGCCCATCGAATAACGCCAATACCGCGACCAACGTCTCGATTGATACACACGACGAAGATAGAGGGATGGCAAGGGAGAGCGTTTTGGATGGTAGCGTATCGTTGACTTCTACGTGGAGCGACGGTCAAGGTACGTGTCCATCCTCTCAAGGTCCTAATCGTGTGTTAACTGTTATATACAGCGTTAAGAGGGAGAAGTACACATCATGGGGCAGACCCCGAGCGGCCAAACATCAGCGTCAAATCGAATTTCATATACCCAACTACTTCCGATACCGCCTCTCGTTCGCGTGCAAACTCCCCTGTTCCAGAGAGATTTGCGTCCGTTAACACGTTTAGGTTGCTTCCGCAGATACCGACGAGCTGGGCTCATTTTTACCAGTGGTCCTCACCTATTGGAGCTGTCGACTCCGAAACGAACGACAACCCAGGCCAAGATGCAATCGCAGGTCCGACGACCAACACCAACCCCTCCTTCAACTCCTCGTCAAACGGCTTTTACAACCGCAATGAAATTACAGTGAAGTCATTATGCGAAGCCACGCGTCTGTTGCCCAGGCAGATTTACTACAATCTATTGCTTCTGAGATTTCCAATGTGGTATCATTCGAGGACCGCTGGGTCGGATTCGGATTTGGACTCATTGTCGAAGGATTGGGAAATGGTGAACGGCGTATCTGCTTTTTTGATATCGTGCGTTATATTTTCTGTTTTTAAGTGCGGCAGAGCTAAATATAAATAACATTGTAGTGCTATTTTAACGTTATTGCAAATACCCCAAGCGTCCAACGACCCTATTACGAAGAACACCGCGCAACTTTCTTTGATATGCGCGTTGATGGGTCTTGTATATGGATATATATATATGGTGAGATTTGGGACGATGAGGAGCATATTTCGATCGTCGAAGTGGGAAGAGGTGCGTGTTTGTGTTCAAGAATAAAGGGGAAAAGGGATATTAACCGATTCGGCTGCTGGTAGGAAGTAAGGGGGACAAGTTCCGCTACATGGTGGAATGTTCAGGTTTTACTTGCGATGCCGGCGGTATCGATGTCTTGGTATTGTTTGCCTCCAGATTCCATCATCGGCCTGACGCTTTATTTATTTTATTTTATTCTAACAGGTCAATGCTCCTCTTCCTCGCGTCCATAATTTCATTCGTCTGGCTTGACGGATCAGTGAACGATTCTTCCCCACCGTTAAACGCAACGGCGGGTCTGGGTCCACGGGTGGCTGTCACGGGGGTCTTGGTGATTGGGATGGTGTATTTCGCGATGATAATGAAGACGTTGGCAAGGTATGACAGGGAATTGCGTGAGATGAGCGCGGACGTGGAGATGAGTTCGGGTGCCTTTCCCGTGCAGAATGGGGAGCCGGAGGGGCGGAACAGGGAGGTGGAGGAGGAGCAGTGAAGAGTTTGTATTTCTTGTCGAACAATATTTCTTGACGAACAGTATCGTATTTGTATCATATTTCTTGACAAACAGTAGCACCTGACGAATAGCATTCCATACGCTGAAACACCAATATTATATTTGAAAGTTTATCGACTATGTAGATCCCCTGGATGCACTTGAACCCCCAAGGCGTTTACGTTCGCCATAACCGATTATTTGCACATGTTTCCTCGCTCGCGTGCGTAGACCTGGTATTTATGACGTTGGGAGACCTTGACAATCACATGTTTGCGCTCTTGTGCTGTTAAAATTTTTTCATTAAGTCGTTCCATATTACCGAACTACCATGGAAATGGAAATCCACCCATCCATCTTCGAGCAAAAAATACAGCATCTTGCCTCCGAACTGAGAGTCGATGACTTACGTTTCGACTGGACAAACCTTCTCAATGCGGCAGAGAAATTCACCGAGGCCTTCGAAAACTTTGAAAAGGCAGATAAGACAGCCGACGAAGCTTTGGATGAACACAACTTGCAATTGGAGCTTGAAGCTACCGCCGCTGAGCAAGATACAAGTATAGGTTGGCGGTCTAAAAAAAAAATTGCGTTCATTGCTAACACGTTCCCTATCATAGGTACACAAAATCACAAATTACGTCTCAAGGTTGCACATCAACGACGTACCAACATCATCGACACACTACTTCCTACTGCGTTAGAAAAAGCCGGCGGTTTAAAAAGCACGGCACAGAAACTTAAAAGACGTGTGCGCGACTTACTGGCCCGGGTGGACACCTTTAGGAAGGAGGTAGATGACTTACGAAAGGAGATTGACGATGCAGTGGAATATGCAGCAGATAACGTATCCGAGATGGAAGCTGATCATACAGTCATTATTGAAAATATGCTGTAGCAAGCAGCTCGAAGGATGAAGAAGAATTGTCTACCGTTTTCGAACAAGTAAAATAGTTATGCCTAACTACAAAATGTCGTCTTTGCAAACCAGTTGTTCCGACCTGAGAATAGCCTGCAATTATTATACACCAAATGAACAGTAGGCAAAAAAGCAGCTGACCTTTCAAGATACAATTGGTGGAGCCAAATAGAGGAGTTGTTGCGGCAGTCAAGCGAGCTCTCGGACTGGAGTGAATCAATGTATTCGCAAACCCAGTTGAAGCCTGTCAGAGCCTGCTGGAAAGTCGGCAGCGACTCGCTCGCTGGCACTTGGCTAAACCAAAGCGACAGGCGAGTCGAGCAGGACGCAGTCCAGCAAATGCCGCGTGTATAAACTCGCGAATTGCAGACAGTTCCTCCCACCAGAGACAATGCCAGTAAGGCCCAACAGACCAGGTGCGGGTGAGGAAGGGGCACGGGGGCCTAGAGAAGTCGGGGAAGCCAAAGGAACGAGCGACAAAGGTGCACGCGAAATCTTCAAAACGGAGTGAGAGGTGAGAAAGTTGGATAAGGATCAAAAGAAGATCCACTCACAACTATAAGAAACAGACAGCGCAGAGGAAGTGGGGATGCCAGCCAAACAGGGTGATAGCGACGTAAAAGCCGAGGCACGCCAGAGGCAGAGCGTTTTCCCCCAGGCGGCAAGGAGGTGGAAAGTGAGAGGAACGTGGGCAAAGCGGTGCCCGGCGTCACCGACATGCAGATTTCCTCGAGCTGGTATTTGAAAGGGCGCGTTCTGAGTTTTCAAGACAACATGTTGAAGGATGGAGAGCGACTGAAAGCAAGCATAATTTCAGTACAAGACTCTCAAGAAGACTTGAAAGAGAGTAGACAGACTGAAAACGCACCAATTAAAAGGCTTCATATCTTGCGAGGAGAGGAGCAGCGGCCATCAATTTGCTACTGGGAGGTGAAGAAGACAGCGGCCACACCCTCGAGGTCACACGGTAAGTCCAGAGTAACGCAAGCGGCGCGCGGCAGACCATCCACTCAGAAACCGGCCGTAGCAACATGCCTTAGCGCTTCCCTTGTAGAGAGAGCTTCAGAGATCTAGGAAGACAAATACAAGCGAGGGAAGTTTGCAACGTTGGCATAAATCACGTGACTTTTATTGAGGTCTTGTTTATTCACTGTAAGTATTCGCGGTCATGGCGGTCTTTGACAGTAGATTACTATTCGATTTCCGCTTTTTGATTGTAACTCGGTGGTTCGCTGACATGGTTTGTAGTTGGAGCTTTTGTTGTGGTAGTTAAAAAAACCAGGACTCGTATTGCCATGCGAAGCAATGGCCCGCAGCCCACAAGTACAAGTATATGGCCATTACAGATCTACGTACACATTTGCAATGTTGAGGTCTACGGGCACAATATTTTCTTTCACAAATTTATTGTTATATGTACCCCTAATGCACTTGCTATATATACAAGTACTTAAAGGGCTAAACGAGAGAGGGAGGGGAGGTTGTCTGCCTCTACTAATCTCTAACTGATTGCACGTGACATGACAACAAGCACCCAGCACCCTCAAAGCACCCTCAAAGCACCCTTTACATGACGCTCGGTAAACCCCCTGGGTCCAGGAAAACTAAGCGTTCTGGCACTTCATCCTCCGTACATGTCCACCACCTATACACCTCCCGGTCACTTAGCGGTCGCACCAGCCTACGACAAGAGGTTCTAAATGCCACGGCCATTCACAAGAGGCAGGCCAAGGATCGCATAGACCACGCCCTTCGTCAGGATGCTATGTCCGCAGGGAAAGAGATGAGTTGAGGCAATCCGACA